CCTTTGAAAACTCATTATGATTACATGATGACTTTGATCTTCACCATTTGGTCTAAGATTATTACAGCAAGTTCAACACCAATTGCATGAGTGCGAGGTAAGTATGGAACTTTGTTGTAGTCCCCTCAACAGACACCATGGTAGAAATGTCAAACAATGTTGAACCAGTGTGTGTGTGGCCATGTTGCCTTACTTGTGGTGGAGTCACCCAAGTGAATGGCCAATATTTTCTTAACTATTTTGTCTTGATATGGACTGCCCCACCTGATGCCTTCACCAAATCAACTTGCAATGAATCCATCACATTACACAAAATGTGAGAGAAACAAGAAGATGGAGAGGAACTTCTCTTGTCATTCATTCTATGGGCAGTGACAAGAATGGTTCAGTAGGATAAGAATAAGTAAAATAGTTGAGCTAAAGTTCTATATAAATTGTGATATTATGTGCTACACATTTTCTCTAAAACAATGGTGATTTTACAATTGTCCTGTGTCCTGATTTGTTTTTCTCCCTGAATTTCTACTCAAATTTTCTTATCCTATAAAACAAGGGAAGTTTATGCTTTAAACAAAAGAAAATTTCTATTTTGAGCTTTATTTAATTTTTCTTTCTGGTCCTTCCATTATTTGGCAGACAACCCATCACTCTCAAGTTGCAACAAGACCACCAAGTTACATACAAAGTTAGAGACAGAAGAAGATGGAGATAAACTTCTTCTAGTAAGGATTTTGCAGTGACAAGAATGCTCAAAAGGATGACAACAAGAAGTATGAGCTAAATTTCTACTTGGAAGTTCTACAAATATTTTCTTTTAAAATAGTAGTGATTTTACATAAGCATAAAAGAATTATCATCACTCTTTCCCTGATTTTTTTTTAATCAAAATTTTCATCCTATAAAACAAGGGAAGTTTATTCTTTTTTTAAAAAATGTATATTTTAACCTTTTCTTCAATTTTACTTTAGCAGACATAAAAGCCTTCATGGCATATAATGATTCCATTATTTGACATAAAACCCATCACTCTCAAGTTGCAACAACTCCAAATTGCATAGGTGAGAGAAACAAGAAGATGGATTGGAACTTCTTTTATTGATTTATTTATTTATTTATTTTGGTGCAAAGACAAGAATGCCTAAAAGGAGAAAAACAAGGAAAAAAGTATGAGCTAAATTTCTATGAAAAAGATCTATGGAACCATCATCACTCTCTCCCTAATTTCCCTCTCAAATTTCTTACCCCATAAAACAAGGGAAATTTATTCTTTGATAAAATCTATATTGAGCTTTCCTTCGATTTTGCTTTAGCACATAAATGCCTTCACGTCATATGTTCCATCCATCACTCTCAAGTTGCAATAACTCCACCAAATTACATAAGAAGTGTGAGAAACAAGGAAGATGGAGACAAACTTGTGTGTCATTGGTTGGCAGTGATAAGAATGCTCAAGCAGAAAAACAAGTTAAAAACAATCAGCTTAAGTTCTAAAATAGTAGTAAATTCATATCAACAAATAAAATTATCATCCTGTATCCTAATCACTGTCTCTCAATTTTTCTTATCCTATAAAACGAGGAAGTTCATGCATTTCTCTTTCTAAAAGAAAATATTCTATGTTGACATTTTCTTCAGTTTTGCTTTGGCAGCCATGGAGGCCTTCATGCCATATAATATGTTTGGCATACAACCCACCACTAATTTGAGGCAGCTCTCACAGAATAGTGCTTTCCATTCAGGAACACTTCCTTACCTTCTTTTTCTTTTGTGGTCCAGTCAAGAGCTTTGGGGAGGAATCATGCAGTCCATATCACAAAACATTGTGTTGTTAGGACCAATCATAATTTCCTGATGAATACTTCATAGGTAAGGAACTCCATCAAGTCTCTAGAGAGTTAGACAAGTAAATGCTAGTTGAACCTTTCAAGCTATCAGGGTTTATCTGCTCATGGTCAAGCCTAGTGACTTTGGGACCCTCAGATGCAAGAGAAGAAATGGTAGACTATTCTACTCTACAACAATTAAAGAGTTCAAACAAACATCATGCTACTTTTTACCTTAGATGTTTATCTTGATTATTAGTATTATTAAAAAGATAATAATTGTCTAATTTTTTGAAGGAAAAAAGTAGAATTTTGATCCCCTTTCCATTTATGAATCCAACATAAAAATTCTAAAAACATCCCTAAAGAACAGCTGAATAGAACATAAAAGAGTATATCTCTATCCATACACATCCATCATGAAGTAAAAGCTGAGATAACTTCTCTTCTGTTCTATTTGCCTCAGAAGTTAGAAGATGTCATCCTCATTAATTGCAGTATGGATCAAGAATTGTCACCATTAACGGAGGACCCAACTTGTTTTCATACAAGACTTTACAGTCCCAATGAACTTCACCCTACTTGATGCTATGCTCATATACACATAAATAGCATCTAAACTATGCATGGAAGTTCATATGGTGAAAATTCTCGATCAATCAATCCACACTCGACAT